CGTAAACACACACACACACACACACACACACACACACACACACACACACACACACACAAAAAAAAAAAATTGGAATTCTGGCCAGGTACACTTTTAATCCCAGCAAGAGAGGCAGAGGCAGGCAGATCTCTGAGAGTTCAAGGCCAGCCTGGTCTACATAATGAATTCTAGGTCAGCCAGAGCTATATAGTGAGACTCTGTCTCAACAACAACAACAACAAAAAAAAAATGGAATTTCTAGCTGGGCATGGTGGCAGATTGTAATCCAAGCACTTAGTGGGTAGAGGCAAGAGGGTCAGGAATTCAAGGTCACCTCAGCTACTCAGCAAGTTCTGGACCAGTCTGTGCTGAGACCTTGTCTCAACCCTCCTTACCAAAATAAGGATTCCCAGCACGCACGCACGCGCGCGCGCGCGCGCACACACACACACACACACACACACACACACGCACACGCACACGCACACGCACACGCACACACGCACACACGCGCACATACACGTACCAACTTTGATTTTCACAGCAGCTCCACAATTATGTAAGATGATAACATTCGAAGAAATTGGGTGAGGAGGAACTGAGAGCCCTCTGGACCATTGCTGCCACTTTTCTGTACATCTAAAACTTCATTTATTTAAAAAAGGATGGAGGGGCTAGAAAGACGGCTCAGGGGTTAAGAGCACATGCTACTCTTGTAGAGGGCCCAAGCTTCATTCACAGCACCCACATTATGATGCTCACAAGCAGCTGTAACTACAGATCCAGGTGATTCTATGCTGTCTTCTGGTCTCTGAAGGCACCTGCACTCATGTGCCCACACATACACACACACACACACACACACACACACACACACACACACAGAGAGAGAGAGAGAGAGAGAGAAAATAATAATAATAATAATAATAATAATAATAATAATAATAATAAACCTTTAAAAGGGGATGGAACTGGGAAATGAATACCTGAAAGACCTGTTACTAAGGACTGGGTTCCAGTCGCTGTATTTTTTTTTTTGCCTCCTCAGTTCTGGACACAGAACTCAGGGCTCACACCCGTTAAGCTTGCACTCAATCACCAAGCTACACTACCCTAGCCAATACTTTTTAAATACCAGGAGCAGTGGCCACTATTTGATAACACTGTCATCTTGCTGGGCCCAGCACTGATGAGCCCCCCCCCCCGCCACCGCTCGGAGACCCTGGCACCCCCATGACCTTCACCCCTTTCCTTCTTGTTTGGATGTTTGGCAGGTTTGACTCCAACCCAGGGAGGGCTCCTCAACCTGAACAAGATGGTCAGACATACGACGAGGAAGATAGCCTTCTTCAACTACTGGCCTTATGGCTGTCACTGTGGACTCGGTGGCAAGGGAGAACCCAAAGATGCCACAGACTGGTAAACACCCCCCCTGGCCTACTTCCGGCTCTCCTTCTCTCTGTGTTCACTGACTCACTTAGAAAACTCATTGTGATGAGCGTGTACTATGTGCTAGGAACTCTGCTAAGTGCTAATATAGTCCCAGTCCTCTTGGAACTGGCCTTCTAGCAGGTTCCCCAGAATGCCTTGAAGTCCTGACATCTCCCTAACCTGGGTCTAATATCCCACACTCCTCGTTACCATTACGCACGGTGTTCTGAAGCCCAAACTCTTTGTCTCTTCTCATTTGATTTTCACAACCATTTTGGGGGTCAGCCAGAGGAGTCACGTGACCTTTGCCAAGCGTCTCAAACCCCAGAATTATGTTTCTTCATCTGTGAAATGGGAATGATACCAGTACCTCTGTCATGGGGTAGTCATGGGATTAAGGGAGAGTATGTGACTGGAACAGGTGTCTGGTGTCTGGGAGCCCTTGACTAACAGCAGCTCTCATGACCTCAAGGGGACTCAGATGTCTTCAATCGTCCCTGGTGGGCATGTGGGGGGAGCAGGCAGTGGCCAGAGTTGACTAGTGACTCCTACAGGTGTGTGCCCTCCCTGCCTCTCTCCATAGGTGCTGTCAGAGACATGATTGCTGTTATGCTCACCTCAAGACTGATGGATGCAGGATCTTCACAGACACTTACAAATACAGCATTTCCCAGGGCGATATCCAGTGCTGTGAGTACCAGGGTTTGAGGGCCAAGGCTGCAGCTGGAAAGTCCTAGTCCTCCCCGCCTCCAAAGACCCAGTGGTATTACACAACATACTCAACACCTGATGCTGTTCCTCTCTCATGGGCAATAGGGGACGGGCATGAACAGGGTGGGGGTATGGAAAGGACCAGGGGACACCTCACCCTTTTGGTATCCAGAAAGCAGGCCCTCATTGACTAGCTGTGTGCTTGACACTGTTTAACCTCTCTGGAATTCAATGTCCTCCTTGGAAATCTGTTAAACCGAGCCAACAGGAAGAACTTTAGGGGATGCTAGCCACCCCCATTTTCATAGGGGAACACATAGGTATCCCCAATATGGCCTTCCCTTTTACCGCTGTTGGACCCCATAACAGCTCACCTTAAGGTTAATGGAGCTGTGGACGCTAACACAAATGTTCCCCTTGTGGGGACACCTGTTTGTAACCTCGGCTTTGGGAAGGAGCAGTGATCTGAGCTGGGATGACACCTTGACACCGCCTGGTCCTCTTGCAGGCCTGCTTCTCCCATGCTTCTGCTTGCTGCTGTTTCTTTGGTCATTCTGTGGTCCTCCACCACCTGCCTTCCCACCTGTCCATTTGGGTTAGCTTCCCCCCTCCAGGACCAGCCTCTCGGGAGCTGCTCAATGACCGTGTAGTGAATGGCTGGGATGATGGGTAAAGGAGTGAGGACACAGGGAGATGGAGGACATGCACACTGTCCAATCAGAGAGGCTGTTTGGGGCTGGGGGGTGTCACCAAAGATGAGCAGGAACTCTGTGTTGCTTTCAGGACCCCCTCTACACCCGCAGGCAGTCTCAGGGAGGGACAGATACTGAGCCATCCCTGTTTCTCCCACCCACAGCTGACAAAGGGAGCTGGTGTGAGAAGGGGTTGTGTGCTTGTGACAAGGAGGTGGCCTTGTGCCTGAAGCAAAATCTGAACAGCTACAACAAGCGCCTGCGTTACTACTGGCGACCCCACTGCAAGGGCGAGACTCCTACGTGCTAGGAGAGCCCACCGTCCGTCCGTCCGTCTCCTGGATTCCATCCTGTTCCAGGGCATCTGGAGCACTGAAGTCCCGTAGGATTGCTGCCCGACACCCCAGTGCCTAGTCTCCTGGACCAGCTGGCTTTTAAAGCCCTCCTTGCAAAAGGGCCTGCCCTCGAGGACTGGGGAAGCTACGGTCTTGTTGCTCCAGGTGATGGGGCCTGGCCTGCTGTTTCTTGTCTATTTGTACTGTCTCTGGGATCTCCTGCTGCAATGTAGGCTGGGGGCTCCTCCTCTGGAAGCCTCTCTGGGTTGGCCCTTCTCTCCAGTTCTAAGGGCTTCTTGGTGCTGGATGTCTGGTGGCATAACACCCCACGCGTCACCTGAGGCCAGAGTGGTGAGGTGTCCCAGGGGCTCATCTCTTCCCAGGACCGGTGTCCTTCCCTGGTTCTCTGCAAAGTTTCTCCAAAGAACCCTCTCAATAAACCACTGGCACAAGAACCCCTGACTCCTGGCCCACCTCTAGGGAGACACATAGCAGGCAGGTAACAGGAGAGTCCACTGTCCTCATGTTCTTCCTGCCTCCGGGAACCATGGACCTAATTACAAAATGCAGAGCCGATGCTGTAGCCAGGAAAGTGTGTGTTCATCGGTGGCAGAATCAAGAGGGTGGCAGATCAGGAGAAGGCATCTGTGGAAGATCAGCCTCCCATCTGAACGAGGATGAGGGTCCTTTTAAAAGGGAGAGAGCAGCTAGGTTTGAGGGGTGCCTCCACTGGGTAGGTAGCCTTTTCGGCTCAAACCGATTCAGCCTACCTCTGTTCCCGCTGCTACTGAGATTGCAGAATTTGGCAAAAGGGACCATCTGGAGGGGGCTGAGCTGGTATTTGCCTGGTAACAAAGGTTTCAGAGAAAAACTGTCATGCTTGTGTGATTAGCTGTGTTTCCAGCCATGGGGCTCAGGGCACCTAGAACCACCCACACCCTCCAGCCCGTGACACACAGCAACACATGACAGAGCAGTCTTCCCAAAACCCCAGTGAGGCAGAGTACAAAGAATTCCCAGCTATGGGCTCTGGGTTCAAGTTCCCACTGTCAAAATGCCCACTCTAGTGGAAGACCATGAGAGTAGGAAGCTGTGTGTGCTGGGGACAGGGCCTACAATGCACTAAAAACTGCCACTTTATTTTTAAAGTCTAGTAAAAACAAATTCAGGCTTGACATGGTAGTATCAAAGGCTGAGACAAGAAGGTGGCTTGGGAAGCCACGGCAGTACCGTGGTGGGGTTCTCCGGGCCCCAGCCTCTACTAGGCCTGAGTTTCTGTTTAGGTCTCAGTTTCTGATTAGGCAGGAGAGGGAGATAGTGCATGCCAGGCATGATTCAGCACGTACAGCCTCAGCCGATCAGAAATATATTAGTGTGTCTGCTGCTCACTTGGCCAATCATGTTTTGGATGACCTAATCCCCTCCTGGTTGTCTATAAAAGGAGCCTGCGAGCTTCTTTCCGGGGAGTCATCGACATGTTGTGTGGCTGACCCCTGCATGCAGGAATTCTTCTCTCAAAAGATAAACACTCTGGCTTTTGCATACGTTAATGGTGGTCTTTTGTGGGGTCATCTGCAGACCCCAACGGACTAGTTCAAAGCCAGTGACTAAACACACCGCCAAGGGACTCCCTAGTTCCTTGTGTGTAAGGTAGAAAGGACAACAGGAAGGAGATGCAGTCAATGTGAGCTCAGTAATGTTAGTGTCCACACAACTCGAAGCACAGTGCCTGAGGGCATGCAGGGAGCCCTGGGTTCGGTTCCCAGCAGTGCATAAGAGACATGGTGCATGCCTGTAACCCCAGCACTCGGCAAAGGCAGGAAGGTCAGAAGCCTGGGGTCATCCTTAGCTACATCGAGCCAGCCTGGGCTACATGAGAGCCTATCTCAGAAAAAAAGAAACAGAGAGAGTGGGGGTGGGACTGGAAATCGGGGGTGCCATGGTGGATGTGGGGTGACAAGTGTCAAGAGCTTGCCTCCCAGATTGGCTCTTGGGTGTCTTGATGTCTTCAGAGCCTGGTTTTTTTCTTGCCCCTTGACGGACTGCCCTCTCCCACTCTTCTGGTTTTCCTCCTGGGCAGGCTCCCCATGGCTCCATTGCAGTCCTGGTCCTCCAGACCTCCAGACAGTAGAGTGATATTGTCTCTTCTACCTGGAAGCCAACTTTCCCTAGGGACTAGCCACCCCAAGCTTGAGCTGGTACCCTGGTTGGTCCGGACTAGCATGAATTTAGCTGTCCCTGAGAAGAAGTGCAGATCCCGCTTGTGACTAGCATTCCATGGTCTGCGGACATCAGCTTGGCGGCTGCGCCTTGTGCTGAGTACTCTGTGTCGTTACAAAGTAGCAGCTCCCTCTGTTTTGAGCAAATGCTGAGGCGGGATGGCAGAATCTTTCTGTGCACACAGACACTGCCACCTGTTCAGCAAGACCCACGAGGCACAGAATGTTAAGCATCTTGTTCGTGCGCATAAGGGAGTCCTGCCTATGAACTTGTCAAGGTAAATTGGAAAGGAGTGAGCACATTAACATATCAACATCAGTGGGGCTGGGGACATGGCTCAGACAGCAGAGTGCTTGCTTAGCATGTGCGAAGCCCTGGGTTCAACCCTCACCAACAAATAAAATGGAGTGTGGCCCTGAACACCCGTAATCCCAGCACTCTAGAGGTAGAGGCAGGAGGATTAGAAATTCAAGGTCACTGGAAGGTGTTGGCACATGCCTTTAATCCTGGCACTCAGGAGGCAGAGGCAAGGGGAATCTGAGGTCTAGGCCAGCATGGTCTACAGAGTGAGTTCCAAGATAGCCAGGGCAACCCAGAGAAATGTTGTGTGAGGGGGTGGGGGTGGGGGGGTACAGAGGCGGGTAGTTTAAGGTCATCCTCAACTACCTATTGAGTTAAAGCTAACTTGGGCTAGAGACTCAAAGGAAAAACAAATAAACAAAATAAAACAGAAAAGAAAAGTCAGGCCCATGAGCTTATAGAACACATCAGACTTGGAAAGGATGTAACTGCAGCGCCCTTTCCTGGACCTCACAGAAGGAGGGCCAACTGACCGCACTGCCTTTCTCTGGCCATCCTGGTGTGTGGCTCAAGAGAACTTGAATTGCTGCTGGGTCCTTGTCTTGCCTCAATTTACCTTGGCCCAGCTCTGTGGCTCAGCTGGCCTCCAGCACTCGCCTCCCCTCCCCCCAACAGCTTCTGAATATCTTAGCTGGCCACCTGCGGTGTCTGCCTCTGTACCCCTCTCTGCCTCCAGTGGGGTCTTTGAGCTCCATAGCCTTTTTTAACTCCTTTCCAGCCATTCTGTGTCCTCTTTGAAGTGTGGAGTGTGACCCGAGAGCTAATATCAGTACTTAAGATGGGAATAAAATGACGTTGTAAGCATTCTGAACCGCCCCTTGGGGCTGCCCAGTGTCCTGACATCATTTTACGGAGAAGCCTCCTTTAAGGAAAAACCCCTCCCTTCTTCTTTCTCTTTTCCTTCCTCCTTTTCTCGCCATGAGGTGTGCACACCTCCGCTTTCCCTCTTCCCTCCCTTTCTCTTTCTCTCTCTCTCTTCTCTCTCTCTCCATCCCTCTATTCCTTCTATCCTCCCCCCAAAATAAACTTTCCACATGGATGCCATGTCTGCAAGGTGTGAATAAACTTTCCAATGCTCCACCCGTCGCTGCGTCTTCCTGGCATGTCTCCCTCACCCACCAGGGCACTTTGGCCCAACCCTCCAAGACCTCCTGCACCCTGTATCGTAACACCCATGATGGCCAATGGCCATGCTACCAGGGGAAATTAGGATTACTTGGTATACTACAGATAACGAACCCAACGCATGCTAATGTTGCTTGTGGACTGTGGCTTGTGAATCTACCATGGAAAGACACACATGTGTCTGTGTTTGTGACACTGTGACTCTCTACCAAGGGGCTGTCAGTGTCCCAGAAGACAAGTGGCTGACAGAATCAGGATAGTAGGGGCTGCTGCCAGAGTGACAAGCCTGAGCACTGAGATGTGCTAATGGGAAGACAAGGCATGCCGCGGAGCTGTGCTTCCCTTGCAGCTATATGATTACTGCGCAGGTGAAGACATGGGACTCAGGACTGCTATAGGGAGATGGAGCCTCAGGCAGCCACATCTGTGGACCCCAAGGCAAGAGGAGACCTACATGTCCGAGACTTCTTCTGAACAAATTTTCTATTACTGAAACTGGGCAAGAAGCAGAAAAGAGGGAGAGACTCCCAGGGTGTCCTCTGCTCATCTCTCCTTCAGGAGGAAGTATCTCTTAGGCTCCCAGATCCCTCCAGTCCAGGTCTACCAAGGAATGCCCTGTGGGGAAGGGGTGGGAAGCTCTGTACACCTATCAAACACCCAGGAGCCCTGTCCTTCCCCTCTGCCTCAGACTTAGGTGTTGTTCCCTGCACTACAGAAACTTCAGGAATGAATCAGCTGTTTAGCTGGAATTTGAACCCTGAGCTTCCTGGCTGCAGGGCCCTGTCCCACCCTTACTCCTACACTCTTAACTGGGACAGCTTCTGATTCAGTCCAAATATTCCTCCAGGGGATTAGCCATTCCCACAGACCTTGCTGTGAGCATGGGGTTGAGTAACCCAAGGGACCAGGAGAAATGGTTCTAATCACACAATGGCGATAATGGTGTTCAAGCCAAGCCCGGTGGCAATGGGCTTGTAATCCAGGTTCCTGAAAAGACTGGGGGAAGAAGGTTCCAAATGCAAGGACAGTGTGGGATAGAGAGTGAGTTCAAAGCCAGGCTGAGACATTAAGTGGGACCCTGTCTCAAGATGAAAAGTTCCGGCGTTGAAAACACAGCTCAGCAGCTAAGAGCCTTTGTTGCACAGTTATGAGGACCAGAGTTAGGGTCCCCGGAACCACATAACAAGCAAATGACCTGTGCATGCCTAGAGTCCCAGCTCTGAGAGGAATGGGGACTGGAGGATCACTGGAGCTTTCCAGCCTAGCAGAGAAAATGGAGCCCCCAGGTTCAGGGGGAGACCCTGCCTCAAAGGAATAGAAGATTGATGGAGGTAACCTGATGCCCTCTTCCAGCCTCTGCTTGCACTCCCAAACATACATGTTCATGCATGCATGTGTACACACACACACACACACACACACACACACACACACACACACACACACACGGGTGAGGCTTAGAGGTACAAAGTTTGCCTAACATGAGCAAGGCCCTGGACTCTATCTCCAACACTGCCAAACACAAGAAGTGGGGGGACTTTCATTGGAACCCTGCTTTATCTCACACTTTGGCCCCTTCCCAGCCCTTGGCTGATGCAGCCCTCTGGCCTTGTGGATTCAGGGTTCTGCCTCCATGGACCAGATCAAGGTGAGGTGCCTGGCAATGGTTTGACCTGTCCCTGCCTGTTTTTCCAGCTGCATCCTGCCCCGAATACCTGTGTGCCTGCCATCCATCAGACCCTCCTTCTGACATGCTTATGTGTGGCCGGGCTCCTGCTCTCCCACACCGTGCCAGTGTCCCCTTGAGGGAGACTGGGGTGTAGGGACATTTTCGCTTAGAATTTCTGCCATCCTCCCTCATTCCTGGGAGTTGGCAAATAACTCTGTCTCCCAGACAGCCTAGACAGGCCAGAGCCAGGGGCCTGGTGTGGGCGCCATGGGCCCTGGCCCCCGACTGGGAGTGGCTGTGGCCTTGCTTGCTTGACCTTGATCAGAATTCCTCCCTATTCGGATTCCCTGCCGGTATCCACCCTTCTGAATGCTTAAGGGAAGTTCCTTGTTGTGTATCCTGTATTTTGGGCGTTAACTACTTAGATGCTAGATGGTCGAACATTGAGTCTGGAATGTAGACCATTGACAGCGAACTTCTGCCCTCCGGGGGTTCCTCCATTTGTGCTGTAAGCCTGTACGTATTTAAGGTTTCTCCCCTCTTTCAATAAACGGCATTCGACATCCAAACGTACGAATGACTCGCTGTCTCTTGTCTCTATTTTTTAATCCGCAGCCCTTCGCTCAGACGTGGTGAACGGTTAGCGGTAACGCGGGCGTTACCGCTACAGCCTGGCTGATGGATAGCCCAGCTTGTTTTCTCTAGAATCCTGTGGGTTGTTCATTTGTTAGTTTATTTGTGACAGGGTCTCAGGGAGCCTCCACTGGCTTCGATGTTGCTGTGCTGAACTTCAAATCCTCCTGCCTCCACTCTCTGAGGACTGGAATTACTGGTGTGTTCCACTATACCAGTTTATGCCTAGGGTGATGGGGACTGATCTCAGGGCTTCCTGTGTGCTGGGCAAGGACTCTACAGACTGACCTGGGTCACCAGCACTTCCTCTGAGATTTTTTAAAAATGAAAATAAAGAAGGTATTTTGAGAAAGCTAACAGCTGGCCAGGGGAAGCAGGCTAGGCTTCCTCTTGGTTCTTTTCCAGCTTCAGCTTCCTCTGTGAGGGCTTAAGTTATGTTTTAGGTTTAAATTACTGTGCTTAAGAGAGCTATAAAAAAAAAATGCCTCTAACCCGTGAGCCCCACTTCCCAAGGACAGAGAACTTCCTGGAATGCTGAGGACTGTTGTTCCTGTAAGATAACAAGCCATGTGTTTTCACTTCTGTAAACAAGGTTGGTTGCCCCAACTGCACAGGATGTGCTTGATCACACATAGGTGGGAGGTATGTAGGCAGGAAGTATGTCAGGATGTATGCTTGCCCCTGATTGGATGAAGGCAGGAAGTACTAATCTTGT